AGAGAGAGAGAGAGAGAGAGAGAGAGAGAGAGTAACCAAATCATGAGCCAAAACAGTGGATGAGATATAATTACTTGAGAAAAATTTGCCACAATTTGCAAACTCGCAAACATTGGGATTGACACTGGAGTGGAGTTTGCGGTGTTCGACCAGGTTGTATTTGCGCATAAAACTCTTGCCACAGTTGGGCCAATCGCATGAGAAGCGACGGCCGGTGTGTATGTTCTTATGCGCGTCCAGATGTGGCCGCGAACGGAACCGTTTGCCGCAGTTCTCCCACTCGCAGACGTACGGCTTGTCCGCGTGGCAGCACTGGTGACACCCGCCGTGCGATTGGCCTTTGCGTGATTTCCCTGCGTTTTAGTAGCGATAGTAAATAAAGCATACAATTAGTCCCATTGATTAGTATATGTGATATAGTTATTGATATCGTGTTGTTTGCGACACAACTGGTGCGCGATTTGAGTGCCTATTAATAGCAATAATCAGCAAAATTAGTGTCAATTAAAGTGTTTTATTTGCTTTAATTGTCAATCAAATGAATGATAAGCCGATGAGTACTGACGTCTATGAGCTATGAATGACGTCAATCGCATTCACCGCTAATCTAATCTCATCTCTGGGCCCGAGATATACACCCAATACCTATTGACTCAATGACTAAACACTGATTATCATGTATACCACCGCACGTGTGGATCAATCCTATAGCGAACAATACATAGCATACAATGTAGGCGTATATCTCTGACAATAACAACACCGCCAGCTATGTTGTGGCCACTAAACCAATGCCACCAATTGGTGGTGATTATGGCATCACCGGTGATGGTAGCCATACGAGCCGTAACTCATGGATAACCATCACAAGTGATGAATCGCTAAAGCGATGGCCGACTCCTTCACCACAGCTGACGGCGAGGAGAAGTCCACCGGAAACACAACACTGAGAGACAAGTATAGAGCGGCGATAGACACCGGCCGACCCTCTGGGACCAGTTGTGGGCCCGCAACGGGTGAGTACTGACCAGATCCGTGTCCATTGCCGGAAACCATGGTGTCGTTGAGCGAAATCATCACTTGCTTATAGCGCTCGCACTCGAGCTTAATGTCTTTGATCTGTTGCTTGAGTTTATCGCACTCCGAGTTCTTAGCGGACAGTTTGCGTCTGAGCTGTTCGTTGTCGGCGTTGAGGCCATCGACCTGTTGTTTGAGACCATTGTTCTCATTCAACGCATTGCTGCCCAACACATACATCATCCCGGGGTTGCCGTTCATTGGCCACAACCACTACACCACTGCCCACACCCGTCGACCAACTGGTCAGATACCAAAGTGACCGCCGATGACAATACCCGCGACACTACTGTTTCAGTACTGACTCCCGAAACGGTTCGCACTCTTCGGTGACCAGCGATAGCACAGTCGACACCACAGATACCACTCGATCGATGTCTTCGGCGACCACTCTATCGGTTACTTCTCTATCGGTGGACAACAATCGGCCGACAAATGTGTTGTTTATTATTATTTATTTATTAAAAGTGTTGAAAGTGTTTGGCATTCAAAACAATGTACTACTCATTGATAGCATAACTTATGGGCAGCCGTTCAGCGCTATAACAGCATTAGAGGGGGAACTATAATAATCGATACCTCACTGTATAGTCTGTACTCTCTCTGCCGTCTCTCTCCGATTCGCTCTCCGCTCGTATGACAACACTCTCTAGCGTTCCGTCAATGAGGAGAGAGAGCGGAGAGTGTGTGGAGAGTAGTGGGAGAGTCAGGTCTGGCGTTACAGTGAGGGGCGAGAGTTTGAGAGGCGATATATGTTTTGAGCGCTGTTTTGCCTGCATTTTCTGTGGCAGTCCACTTGTGTGGGAGCGCTGCGCCCCCCGTAACACACATTTTGAATGACCCCAAACCCAATAGCACTCACAGCACACTCTCCGCGCTCGCTCTCCACTCGCTCTCCCCTCTCTCTCGGCTCCCTCTCCGCACTGCACAACACTCTCTCTCCCCTATACTCTCCATACCTCTCATCCTATCACCGCTCGTCTCTCTCCAACTCCTCTCCAATCCCTCTCTTACTCTCTCTCCCAGTCCTCTCAACTCTCTCTCTCCCTTCGCTATGCGTTTACTAAAAGTACAAACCAGTAGTAACTGTTGTTCACGATTATCATAGGTTTGAAGCGTGTTTTGTCAACAGAAAATACTTTGTCGGTGTTATAACTTGTAGCCATAAATTACGAGCCCAATTAATACCGGCTATAAAAATGTAACAAGTTTAAAATAAGCGCTGCGTCAAAATTAGACTCTAAAGTTTAATTCTATAAACTTTAAATTTTATTACTTTTACCGTAATTGCATAATTTTAGGTATTTAATTAAAAAGTTATCAAGATTATTTTTAATATCAATTTATCAAATTTATTATAAAATTTATTTAAAATTGACATAGCTAGTTTTTGGAACAGTAGTTTTAGTGGAGACATTATTCGTATTTTTACCCTGTTCATTATCAAACAATATTATGTTTTAAATCTAGTTCAATTTGTTTTAATTAAATTATAGGGGGAGGTATTTATTGGCGATTGTTTTTTAGTGGTATTTAGTTATACAATGGGTTAACAAAATAGATTAGAAATGTTTTTTACTTTAAAAATTTCGCACTCAAATTGTGTTCATACAGTATTAATAATACGGTATCTAGATTGTTTTTATCAGCATGGTTAATTTTGTTTGCGTCAAATATAGTACTCATAAATAATGTGTAAACTTTGTTAATATTAAGCTAGAATTTAGTACGATTAAAAATATATGAGGGGTTGTTATTCGCACTCCTATTATATTTATCATTATTATAATTAATTGGTTGTGTTTTTTGTAATTCAATTTAAATGATGTTTAAATATGTTTAATATATTTACAAATTATTAAACAATTAAATGTTTATTTCAATTCATTTATTATAAGAGTTAATTCATACGAAACGGAAAAATATATTTCATATAATTTTTTACTTTCGTAAATTTATTAACATAATCCAGGAGAGAGAGAGAGAGAGAGAGAGAGAGAGAGAGAGA